CCACGTGGACGAGAAATCCATATTCCTTTGAATAACGTCACGCGATGCAGCATCGAGATCTGCAGAGGTGGCGATATTACTACTCCACGAGCATGTTCTTTTGCTGCAGAGCCAGCAAACATGGAACGACGATGCACATATCGAGTGGCTACGAGAACATGATGCGACTTGGCCCCAAGGAAGCATCCAAAAGGGAATACCATTGGCTTTCGATGAGTTAGTTGGTCGACCTCGAGTAATCGCTGGGTACTGTAATGTCTAGCGACATGTCCATCTCGCCCGTAGTCGAAAAAGATCGCATGGCGCGAAATAATTCGAGTCGCGATCAGACGCAACCGGCGACAAAGTGGATTGCGTCCCAAGCGACCCGCGCAACTGGAAAGTGTAATGTAATGTCATGCGGTTGCAGGCCTCGTCTAGGGACAAAAGCCAAAACAAAACGTGGACTGTCTTTTCCATATACAATGGTCTTGCATGGTTCCGGTAATTTCGTCGTGCACCGCATTCAAGACATTTGGGGAAACGTCCGCGAAGGCTCTGGTCGCCTTCTTTGGCCGCAACTGGTTGCAGTTGCAATGTGATGACAAATTTATTGTCGGGTGGTGTTTGGTACACCCGTGCGTAACACCAGCACCCGCTTGCTTGCATGACCATCGATTGCGAATCGAGTAGCTTTTCTCGTCGACAACTCCTCTGCGTCCTACAGGTGCATAGTCATTGCGCCTCGCTCATCATTCATGGACGTATTGGTTCATAATCGAGTACCGGTATACTCGAACCCATCATGTTGATGCAAGTTGTCATCCTCAGGCCCGCAGCCGTCAATGGTAATGACTACCGGTACATGCCTTTCTGAGTTATTTCGGCTCGGATGACGCCCATGCGGTCCATGCCACGTGGCAAGCTTATGCCTGCTTACTGTTTCCATTTCAATAGATACGATACACACACACAAATGTGCAGCCAGCGTGTCCTTTGTCGCGTTGGAGAGCTGCCTCGAAGGCCCTGGGGAATTTGGCGGACGTACAATAATATTGTACGTCCGCCAAATTCCGCCCGTCGACTACACACATATTATGTGTGTAGTCGACGGGCGATATGATATGTGCCCGTCAGGATCGATCTGGTCGTGAGTGATCGCGCATCTGCACGCACTGGACACGTCCACCTGCGTGTGCTGGACACTCTG